CCACTCTGTCAGCACCACCGCCCTTTCCACCATCTTCATTCTTGTCTCATGGCCAAGGCTGTGCTTCCAAACCCATTTCTTTTTTTTTAAAGATTTTACTTTTTTCCTTTTTCTCCCCAAAGCCCCCCAGGTACATAGTTGTATATTCTTAGCTGTGGGTCCCTCCAGTTGTGGCATGTGGGACGCCGCCCCAGCGCGGTCTGATGAGCAGCGCCATGTCCGCGCCCAGGACTCGAACTCGGCAGGAGGACTGGTCTGTGGGGGCCTAAACCACTAAACTCCACGTGGAGCTGATGCCTTTTCCTGTTTGTTCAGCGTGCACCAGCCTGAACTCTTCAAGAAGATTCCCCTTTACTGCTTTTGCAGCTTCCACTTTTCTCTTGCGCTGAAACAAAGATGTTCCCTAAAGGGTCTATTTTAACATTATGTCCTTAGGTCTCTTTTAGGGCTGCTAAATTTTCTCAGGACTCTCATTAATTCACATAACCTTTCCGGGCAGCACTTCCAAGATGCATTTTCACTTATTCTGAGTTCCATCCTTGGATTTCCAGCCATCTCTTTACACATTCCCCTATAACCTTTAGTCTAGGATCAGTCTCTTAGCCAGGCTCACCTGCTTTGGTTACTGGGACAGCATTTGTCCAGTGAGTTGGGCTTAGAATTACTACGAGTCAAGGACACTTCTGTTATTATCCCCAATTTCTTCAGTGTGAGTGAAGAACCAAAGATAACTTTTAGTTACTTATTGATCTGTTGATAACACTTTCCTTTTTTTTTTTTAAAGATTGGCCGTGAGCTAACATCTGTTGCCAATCTTCTTCTTTTTTTCTTCTTCTTCTTCTCCCCAAAGCCCCCCAGTACAGTCGTACATTCTAGTTGTGAGTGCCTCTGCCTCAGCGTGGCCTGATGAGCAGTGCCATGTCCGTGCCCAGGATCCAAACTGGTGAAACCCTGGGCCGCCGAAGCAGAGTGCACAAACTTAACCATGGGGCCGGCCCCGACAATACTTAACTTTAAGGACAATCCCCCATAAACTACCACAAGGCTTAGGAACATGGCCTCATTTCCTTCCTTCCTCCTCCGCCTGGAGTATTAATATTGATAATTAGTATTGCTGCCTATCTTTACTTCCTGTATTTATTCCACATTCATTGCCAAGTATTCACTGAGCAGCTCCCCTGTGCTCCAGGCACGGTGCTGGGCATTGGGCAGAGTGGCCAATGAGACGGATGAGGTGGCCGCTGTTCTGGAGCTCGCAATCTGGTGAGGGACACACGTGAAGAGCGTGAAACAAGCACAGTTCTTGGTGATGTGCTATGAGGAAAATAACGAAGACAGTGAGGAGGCGATGCCTGGGGATGCACAGCACGACCACAGACGGGGTGGGGAGGGAAAGCCACTCTGAAGGGTGACTTTTGAGCTGAGATCAAAATGATGACAAGAAGCCAGTTCCCATTAGAGGAAACAGCAAGAGCAAAGGGCAGTGGAGTGGCCCGCAAGGGCACGGTGCTACAGCCGAGGCAGAGAGGGAGGAACGGGGAGCAGGGCGTGGAGAGTTACAGCAAGGAGTGAGGACTTTCTTCTAGGTGAGGCGCAGTCACTTTAATGAGAAAAATTACTGCTTGAAAGACAAGTATCAGAATACATTCATGGAAAGTATCTTATACTTGTTCACATTCAAGCAACTTTATTTACGTGGATAAAACCTAAAGGGAACATCCGATCTGTATATCCTTGTGTGTCTGAGTAGTCACTACTGTTAAAAAAAATAACGGAAACAAAAATCCATTACAGGAAAAAGAGAATTTAGTCAGTAAAATCTTTTCTAGAAAGATGCTAAAGTCATTATTCCAAGAATCCTCTATTTTATATACATATATACACACGCACACTCCTAAGAGCTCTCCAATGGCGTAAGAGAGCATTTTATGAAGTTAGAAGAAAATCAGTATTACCTGTCAAGTACTATCTCTTGCATGTGCAACCCAAACTGCTAAGGTTATGTGAACAAGAAATCCCTGATGTCTATTACAGAAAGCTTTTAATAGAGCTTGCCTTGACAATTTATTCCTAAATCTTCTTTTCTTCCCCCCAGCTCAGTACAATATTGCTACTTAATTTCCTGGCTGCACAAACCTGTTTTAGGCAACAGCACTTGGGGAATAAGTATTAAGAGTTCAAGTAAATGCAAATGATGTTTTTGCTACCTTTTCTCAAAAGATTTCGCATGAGAATAGACTATAATATGAAACTGTATTATGCGTATATAGTTCCTACAGTTACACATAATCTGTATCTTTCGCGGGTACATAAGGTAAATTGGTCCTAGTGTTATTATTCAGGCTTAAATAGCGCTTTAACTAGCGCTTGCCTTGTCACTCTCTATTGGGGACTGACGATCTCATAATGCTGAAAATCACAAGACATTGTGAAAGGTGTGTCTGTTTGCTGGTTCCATCAAGTCAGCTAGATTTTCTTCCCCATGTTCTCCAACCTCAGGAGAAATGTGACTGAAGACTAGAGTTAAACTGATTTCTCGTAAACAGTGAATGGTCAGATGGTCATCTCCCGGCCCCCCGTCCACAAACTCACTCTTTGGAGTCTTGACAATCCAATTTTAAGTCATTTTAAATAACCTTCCTCCTTTAGCCGCTTCTTATTTTTCCCAATTAAAATGACTAAGTGAGGGCAAAGCATTAGGTGGCACTCCTTGCCTTGAGAGAGCTGTGGGTTTCCTTTCCCCCACCCCGGGGTGGGAACTGAAAACGAGGAGTGAAGCACCAGCTGACGGAGCATTGACTGTCGTGGGCAGAGCTGTGTCCTGTGGCCCATTATGGCTCAGGTCAGTTTTCCAATCTCCTGCAGTGTCTTTGTCTGAACAAGCTGCTCCCTGGACAGGCTGTGCCACCCGGAACCTGCTGCAGTCAGAGGCCTCTGGGCCTCGTTGAGGCTTTGCAAACCCCGGCATGAAGTCCCAGGGCCTCCAGCCAACACTGGGTTCTTGCCCAGGAAAGATGGTCAAAGACACTGATGTTGCCATGGCCTGAGCCTCACCTGAGACGAACATTTTCCAGGAAAGAGAAGACAGTGTTAAGGAGCATGGGCTGGACAGCAGGACCCTTTGCATCTCAATCCTTCCTTCCCCGCTGATGAGCTGTGTGACCCTGGCCATGTCACCCCAATTCTCTGAGCCAAAGCACTTAACACATAATAGACACTCAAAACCGTAGCACTTATGATCATCAAGTATTTTATTGTTTTTCACGGTTTATAAGGCACTTGCATTTTTAATATCTTTTTTTCTTTTAAGGAAAAAGGAATCATAAGTGAATGCATTGGTAATTGGCTATTATCAGAACCTACCAAATCATTTCCTAACCTCTCTGAACCTCTCACCATTGGGGGATACTGCTGTTTGGTTACTTAAAACATGGTGAGAATTTCATGATTCCCTATTCTTAGCATACTCTTGCTTGTCTTGAATCAATTCTTTTACTTACTGGGTTTTGGGGCAAGGAGACTTAGTAAGTTTCATTCTCATTACTTTTAATTATCTCTGTATTTGCCCCAAACCCAAGTGCCAGGTCGGCTGCACATGTCCCACGACAGAGGGCTCCATCGTCCACTGTGAGGAACCTCGCATCTCATCCATGAGCCTGGCACAGGATGCTGGTACCCAGTTCTGAAAGCGTTACCACATCCCAGGCCTCAAACGCTTGGCTTACGAGATCCACCTCCTACTGAATTCCTCTTTTTGATCTCATAGCCATACCTGTTTTAAAGAAAAACAAATACGAAGCAAGAATGCAGCAAAACCCTGAAACAAGGGCATTCTAATTTTGAAAATTTTTAATTTTCTTGTGCCACATAACAATGAGCTATGGTGTGTCACCAATCTGTAGTATAATTAACTTCTTGTCTTTTGTTCCTTATGAATTTACATATCCAATTATCTTTCTATTTAATTTCTCATGGTTTTGCTACATTGACTAAAACTTTTTAACAGAGAAGTCTTTTAATTTAATGGACTTCGCAGGTCATTTGTAACCCGTCTGTTTTTAAAGTTGTTTTAGGATGACTGAACGCTCCTGCGTTACGCTGTGAAATTTGCTTGGCGGGAGAGGGGCACCTGGGTTCCCTGTCCACCAGGACAACTGCTGCAGACGACGAGGATGAAACCGCTCAGTGGTCGGGAGCTGCGGAGGAGACGCGGCAAGGTACATTACGGGAAACAACACCGTTCCCACGTCAGACCATCCATGCTCTTGCTCTTTCACGAAGGGACACTGCACTGTGCCTTTAATCAAAGTCAGCATCAGTTTAGATGACACGGATGAAAGCACTGTTTTCGCCCCATCGGGATTTCTGCTTTGTTTCTTTTGAGAACTCTGCATCAATTCCCACTTTTCCTGTCAAAGCAGACACGGTGAAGAGTCTCATAAACGGAGGGTCGTTCTGATTGCCTGAGAACACCAACCTGCAGAGTGACTGCAGCATCGAAAGTGAATAAACTCAAAATGTGCTGCCGAGTGGCTGCCGAGGAGGCACGTTATGGCTTTAGTTCTCGTCTCTTGGATGACGTTTTTATATATGGCCAATTTATGTGCAAAGGTGACTTTTCTAGCCACCACGAAGGCAAACTCAAGCTGTGACTCCTGTCAACTGCATCGTCAGCAGTAGCAGAAGTCTCAGAGTCTAACAGCAAACGGCTCCTCAGCTCCTTGTTCAAGTCAGTCTTCAGGCTCAGGTAATGGGAGACATCCATGTGTTTTGTTCGGAAGGAAAGGAGATGCCCTTTGTTTCGCCTAGCACTGTGGGAGCTGTGACCAGAGTTTAATGCAAACAGATGCAGTTTGCTCAGGGATCACCAAAGATCACACGTGGACATCAAGTTGGGAGTGGCGTCCACAGGTAGACATCTGCCACCAGAGAATAATCCAATTTGAAAGCAGAGCTGAGAAACACAGCATTAGGAGAATTCACTCAAACACCCATGCAGAGATGTTTCAATATCATTTATTCTTTTATTCCCAGGCTCCACTCCTCCCCTTCTCGTTCTTAAAGGGAGGGCAGTTCTATTTTGGATATAATTTAGGATACGACCCAGCTCTCTGATTTATGCAAAAGAACATAAATTCACAAATCTGCCTGGTACACTTTTATATTCAATAAGTGGTTGTCTGCAGCTGCTGTTTCTGGCAAAATAAAAAAATAGTGGAAGTGAATAGATCATAAATGGCAATCACTTTTCCTTCAGCAAATCCATCAGGTCATCCTCCACCCCCTTCTCACTCAGCTCATCTAAACTGTAGTACCGATGGACGATCTTCTCCGCGGTGACCACCACGACTCGGAGCCCGTGGGTGTCCTTGCCCAGCTGGCATCCGATGGCAGACGACACCACCATGTCGAGGTTCTGGTAGATGCCCCCAGCGTTCCTGTGGTAGTGGCCCGAGAACACAGCTTTGACACCTGCAGGGAAGGGGACAAAACATCAGAGGCCAAGGCTTTCCATTTAGGTAACCTGGGGGCTCCAATGTTTTCTTCCGTGAACAGCAGTGCACTGTTACACTAAATGCGTAATGTTATTGAGGCTATGATAAAAAAGAAGGCAGCATATGTGACATCCAGAATCCTTTCAAGGATAACTCATATATACAATGTATCATTAACATGTTTGTCATAACTAGCATGGAAAGTACTAGGGAACAAGAAGAGAGGAGGAGGATACGGTGAATGACTTTGGGAGAGGGGAAGAAGGCTGAAGGAAACATTGGAGGCCTCCGTAAACAGCCACATGATGGATGTTGTATGTCTACAAAAAAGGACGTTTGTGGAGTTCTAATCAAGACAGCACAGCATGTTCAACATGTAATGTAACTAACTCCTCGGCTCCAAACTCAGAGCCATGATGGATAAAACAGAAAAAAGGAAAGCAAGGGATAGAGGGAGCCTCAAAACCAAATTAAATAGCTCTGTGGACCAGCAACAAAGCAGGAGGCAGAGTAATGAGTGGGGTTACAGCGTTCCTGGGACCTGAGCTCCTATCAGATAACTGAGACTGAAAGCACTTTCTGAGATGAGAAAGTAAAGCCTGGCCCCCATTTGAGAGGGGCTCACACGAGTACCTCGATATGGAAGGACACGGCCGAAAACCACTGTGGCTGCTGCCTGGGGCTGGGGCAGTGGTGGCCTCGTGTGAACAAGCATTTCAGGAAAAAAAGAGGCCTGATTTGTAAGGTTTACTAATTTCCACAGTGTAAACATTCTCCTTATGGCCAATTTCAAATTACCAACGTATGGCATTGAACCAGAAGTGGGAAGAGCTGTCCAGTAGCTCACCATTATATGGTGTCTCCACCAAACAGATACAGAAGCTGTGAACAACCTAAGAGCACAGATGATAGCAATACCTAGCAAGCTAATTAGAAAATGGTAAGTTGAGTATTTATTACCTTTGCTTTTTAACGCAATGGTGACTTTGTAGAATTTAATTTTTAATAATAGCTGTTTATTAATAACGAGCTCACAAAATTCCTTAAAATTTAATAATTGGTTTTCGTGAGCTGGGAGGAGCTGTCTCCAGCACACCACTGGGCGAGGGCTTATCGCAACGGATAGGTCTATGAAGGGAGCAGAGACACAGGCTCAAGCCCAGGAAATGAAACACGTTTCCCCAGTATGACTGTGGGATGAGGGCCCTACAGCATTGGGGCCTGGGCCTGGGGGCCGGGTCGCCTGGGTGGAAGTAACCAGAACCACTGGACAGGGAGAAGTCAGTCAAGAGAGAAGGTGAAAGGAAAAGAAAAAGAAAAAATGCCTTTTACTCAAACTGAACCTGAAATAAAAAATTCCACCACCCATGAAGAAATCTCATGCTAAGTGGACAGTCTACAAACACTTCAATCAGGAACACGAATCCACTCCAGACAAAATCCATGACAGAACACTGAGAAATATTTGACATATGTTTAGGATATCAAAGTCCTTTAATAAGGACTAATATGTATAGAAAAGAACAACACATTATGACAAAAAACAGGCATGAATTGAACGAGAATAGTTGGTAATGAAAATTTAGAAATGGTGGACATAAAAGACATAACCATCAAAGTTGAAAATGAAACAACTCACAATAAATGGGGTAAATTCTCCTCATACACTGCTGGTGGGAATGCAAACTGGTGCAGCCACTATGGAAAACAGTATGGAGATTCCTCAAAAGATTAAAAATAGAACTACCATACGATCCAGCCATCCCACTACTGGCTATTTATCCAAAGAGCTTGAAGTCAGCAATCCCAAAAGTCCTATGCACCCCAATGTTCATTGCAGCATTATGTACAACAGCCAAGACGTGGAAGCAACCTAAGTGCCCATCAACAGATGACTGGATAAAGAAGATGTGGTACATATATACAATGGAATACTACTCAGCTGCAAAACAGAACAAAATCATTCCATTTGCAATAACATGGATGGACCTTGAGAGAATTATGTTAAGTGAAATAAGCCAGTTAGAGAAGGATAAGCTCTGTATGACTCCACTCACATGAGGAATTTAAAAATGTGGACTAAGAACAGTTTAGTGGATACCAGGGGAAAGGTGGGGTGGAGGGTGGGCACAAAGGGTGAAGTGGTGCACCTACAACACGAATGACAAACATTAATGTACAACTGAAATTTCACAAGATTGTAACCTATCATTAACTCAATAAAAAAAATAAAAATAAAAAATAAATAAATAAATGGGGTAAATTCTAACTGGATACTAATCAGAGAGGAAATTAGTGAATTAAAAGGGAGAATTGAGGAAATGAACCAGATGACAACACAGAGACGTAAGAAATATGAACAAGTAGCTCAAAGAGCCCAAAGGATGGACTAAGAGGTATTGATGGTGGTAAAATTAAAAAGTTTATTTAAAAAAGTATAGATAATTTCCAAAAGAACAGAAACGGAATACATGGCTTTCAATCAGCAAAGAGAGAAAAAAATCACAATAACCTAACAAACAAATGATCAAACAAAAATTTTTTAAATGTTACTAAAATGGAATGCAGGCTCTGGTGCAGAGAAACTGGATCACTCTTACAGTGCTAGTGGGAACGTAAAGTGGTGTAGCCACACTGGAAAAGGGTCTGGAAGTTTCTTATAAAAGTAACATGCACTTACTATATGACCTAAATGTCTTGGACTTTTATCCCAGAGAAATGAAAATTTATGTTCACTCAAAGATCTGTACACAGATGGCACAGCAGCTTTACTTGAAATAGCAAGAAATCAGAAACAACCTAAATGTCCTTCGATGGGTGAACGGTTAAACTGGGGTACATTCACACCATGGAATACTACTCAGCAATAAAAAAGGAGTGAACTATTGATACATGGAACAACCTGAATGGATATCAAGGAAATTATGCTGATTAAAACAAGCCAAACTCAAAAGTTTCATACTGTATGATTCCAGTTATATAACTTTCTTAAAATGACAAAATTGTAGCTATGGATGCTAGGATGGGTGTGGCTATAGGAGGGTAGCAGGAGGGATCATTGTGCTGATGGAACTGTTCTGCATTTGACAATGATTCAAAAAGGTGTGAAGGAAACGCGCTCGAGACGTTTACAGCAGCTGCTTCTGGTCAGCAGGAGTTGCAGACCCAACAGAGCTCCCCAGACCACAGCCATGCTTTGGGCAGGAACTGAGGCCCCCCGTGGGCAGACATGGCCATCTGCGAGCTGCGGTCCACAGCCAGGGATGGAAGGAAGGTGACCCAGGTTTTGCTACTTCAAACAGCCCAGGGTGGGGAGAAACAGCTATTTCCAGGTACTGTTATTGGGATGCAAACAGATTCAACTCCGTTCACGGGGTAATTTGGCGCTGTCTTCTCACACTTTATTGTGCATTCCCCTTGACCCAACTCCACGATTTTTGTAGAAATTTATCCTCCAGACATACCCAGCGAAGAGTGTGCAGAGGTAGGTGTGTTGTGCCTGTGGGCATAAACACACACAGCACAGTGTTCACCCAGGCACTGTTCCTAACGTTCGTTGACGGGAGACTGGATAAATTATAGTATGTGCATTAAAAACAAGAAATAGATTTACTTGTACTGGCGTTGAAAGGCACCAAATACATTATTAAGTATGAACAGCGAGATGGAACAAAGTGTTGTGCGAGCCTGTTTTTGTAAGATAAAGACAGCATGCGCAGAAGAGGGTGTGCGCGCGTTTGAACCCCCCAGCTGAGTCGGGGGGACTCGTTCACTAAACTGCCACCCCGGTGATTTCACCAGGAGGGTGCCGGGCTGGGACTCGAGAGGGGGCATCGCTTTCTGCTTTCTTATTACTGCAGAGTAATGTTATCAGTGACCGTGAATCGATCTGGTGACCACGAACTAAACGTCAGGGTGACCTGAACAGCACAGAGAAGGCGTGACAGACAGACAGGGGAAAGGATGACAAGGGACGGACGTGCTGCCACTGCAGGGCCCGAGCCGCGTGGTTAGAAAGCTGCAGCTGGAACCAGGGTGGGGTGCCTGATGGGTCCTCGCCACAAACGGAGATGACGAGCTCCGGAACCCTCTGACTGGAGGGCCTTGGAAACGACCTTCCTCCGCTGCCTTCCTGGGGTTTCCTAGCTGTGTGGCCTGTGCCGGCGGAGCCCAAGGGGGGTGCGTGCTATTAGAGCCGCTCGGGGAGCTGCTAACAGCCGTCAGAAAGCACATAGCATTATTATTATTTGGTTGGGTACAAAACTATGTTTATGAAAGTTGGCTCTTGATGCCTAACTCATAGTTGCAAACTACTATTCTGGAAGGAACGTGTGGCAATTTTGAAAGCAGCTCACATTAGCTGTAATTAGCTGTAAAAACTCATTTATGTTTGAATTTCACACCGTATTTATTGGCATTTGCAGAGACAGGAGCATTAATGGGGACTGTGTGAGCGACCAGGGAATTTTCAGAGCGGATCCCGGTGGACCGTGGACAGCCAGGCTTCTCTGCAACATGAGTGTCCCATCCAGCTCCCTGTTCCAGGTCCCTTAGGACTCACTATGTACTGTCAATGTCCCAAGTCACAAAAAACGTGTCCGGATGAGGATTCATACGTTAACAGAGGCGCCTAAAGAGGGCTGGAGATAAAGACGAGAGACGGTCACCAAGCAGAGCCGCTGTGTTCAGAACCTTCTCCCCTCTGGTGAAAGGGATCCCCCTGCCCCGTTACAATTAGGAACCTGACATTCTGGAGTCCTAAACGAGAAACTATGCAAAGACCAAGTGCAAGTTTACAAAGGGACGGGCGGTCGGGCAGGAGGCTGAAGTCTGTCTCAAAAGTAGGCGGATGTGAGGAACTCCCCGCTGTGGCAGGTTCGAGGCTCTGGGATAGTCCTGGTTGGCCCAGTGAAAACCAGAACACGAGGGACGAGACTCAGGCTGCGAAGTGAGGGAGCCTCTCCTCGGGTTGGAACC